TTTAGCTTCTTCCATTGCAGTATCATTGAAGCACGCACCATCAGGAATAATATCATTGTCGTCCCATTGTTCTTCTTCACCTTCTTCCATTACAACGCCGGTTTCTCTTTGCTTCGTCCAACAAATATAGTTTGGCATGAAACCCGACTTGAACAAGTGTGAATGAAGAGTCCTTGAGCAAGGATATTCCACCGTATTCTTACATATGTCACATGGGCAGCACATGAAACCGTCGCGTTTGTTTGCCTCGGCCGCACGTAACAAAGAATACACGCTGTCAATGAACTCTTGGGAGCGGCGATCAGCATTGTACATCCAATGCCGGCTCATCTGCATTACATGACATAAATACTATATTAAAACCTAGATCATAATTAATTATTTATACAACATGCGTGCTACCATAAAAGGTACAAATTTATGAAAGCATCGCTACAATGTAGACAATCCCAACTACCACTAAAAGAACTAAAGCTAAAATATATTTCAGAAGCACAAGGATTTCGTGACCAATCTCAACTAAAACAGACAAATCCCCCGATTGTGCAACATCTTTGGGCTTCTTCGGCTGGATCACTGCCTCATTAGCCGCCATATCTGCCTGTTGTGAAAGATATTTTTACAAGAGTTCAACATACTCTTCCTCCCAGTAGAAGCCTGAACATCGTCCACTGCCATCCCACTGAAATTAAAACAAAAAATTAGAACTTTAATCACAACCATCATGAAAATAGGTATAAACTAACCATAATCATAAAATACGATAAAATAACTCACATTGCGATCCAGACACTTGTAGAAGATACGACCATTGTTGGGACCCTCCTTCTTCACTCGGTACTCCATCACAATCTTCGTCTCATCACGACACTTGCCGCATGGAATGCGAGGGAGGCCCGGCCTAAGTCGCTTTGGAAACCCATGAGAGGCCGAGGACCCGGAAGCAATTGCCATCTACTCTCTATACTCATTTTTTAATACACTATAAATTTCTCATTTTATAAACAAATAAAATTGAAAAACTATAAAATTATCTATATCTCTAAACAATGAAGTGTGCTATGCATGCTAGAAATAAAAAGTGAATACTAATTTTAAATACCTACTTTAACCTTTCTTCATCCAAATATGCAAACTATGAGTTATTTTGAGCTCAAATTGTTTACAAATAAAAAAAACACCATAAAAAAATATATATATAGTGAACAATATGAGATAAGCCAATGATGAAAAATGAGAGTATGAGATTGGTAACCTTTACAACTGAAGAATCGACGGAGGAATCGAAGAAATCGACGAAGAAATCGAAGAATGGATGGAGGAACAATGGAGGGAGGAAGCAAGAACACTAGTGCAGTGAGCTTGAAAATGTGCTGAGCTCGGGCTCGGGGAGGAAGAAGGAGACGGCCGGGATATAAATGGGGGACCTTTAGTCCCGGTTGGTGGCTCCAACCAGGACTAAAGGTAACTTTCCAACCCCCGACGCAGCCACGGCCCGGGAGTAGACCTTTACTTCCGGTTGGAGGCACCAATCAGGAGTAAAAGTCTACCTTTAGTCCCGGTTGGTGGTTCCAACCGGGACTAAAGGTCCCTGCCACCTCTCTCTGGCGCAGTAGCCGTTGGGCAGGGACCTTTAGTCCTGGTTGGTGGCTCCAACCGGGACTAAAGGTCTCTCTAGTCTCAGACGCAAAAAATACCGAAACTAGAGCCCATTTTGACCGAGGATCAAAGTCTGTTCTCTGCTAGTGGCTCTATGCCCCTCAGTCTCTTACTATATATATCACTGAACAGAGCATGCAAGATGATGCACATGCACATGCATCAGAGTACGTAGTTGCGTATGCATGAGAGTACGTACCAGCTAGCTTCTTTATTTCGAGATGCGCAACACGTACGTCTTTGCCTGTCTTTGCCTCTCTATTTGGGGCTGTCTGCCTGCTGCTAGCTTTTGCCTGTCGAACGACCAACAGGCCATGCATATATCCACCCTGTCCCTCTGGTCACCTGCTTTATGCATTGCTGTTCATTCACGTAATGTAATGTCTCGTCTCGCACACATGATGCCGCGACGACACGTACTACTTTTCTGCTTCTGCTTTTCTTAAATTGTTGCTGCAAGGTTTGGTTGCGTCGTACCAACAACAATACGAAAGTGCCAGACCCTGGGAAGATCGCTCTTGCCGAAAGAATTGCCGCCGCGGAGCAGATCTCGAGCCACTGCACCCAGGCTCATATGCTTTGCTGACTTGTCCAAAGGTGTGCTACAGCTTCATGCGCAATTAGGGGCCGTTTGGTGTCCCTCCAACTCCGTCTCCGGCTCTGAGCAGAAGCACCATTTCAGTGGCTTCACCTCTTTACACGTCCCTAATGATAAAATAACTCCAGATCTTTCTCCATGCCATCTAGAAGTGCTTCTCTCCCTCGGACGTTTGGTGTGGCTCCGGCTCCTTGTTGGTGCTGGAGCGGCACCAAATTAACATGGCCTCGAAGCAGCTGCTTTATTAGATGCATTCACTCCATTGCTATGAGCCTGTGACTGACAGTCATTGCTAGGTAGAATATGATATATACTACCTCTGTGTAAAATTAGGCGACATCTTGTGCGCGTAGTCGGGCACGTCATGGCCTCTAGTCGCGCGTGATGATGTTACTTGTGCGACCAACTACCGGACCAGAGTCCATTGATCACATTCTCTCCACCTGTGTATACGCACTACAGGTGTGGGAGAGCATCTCCGGTGCCATGAGTCGACAGCCACCGCCGCCAACTCATGGAGTCTACCACTACTAGAAGAGGTTGACGTCAGGATGGACTGGCCAGCATCAGCAATGAATCGACAGTCTCTTTAGTGACCGTCGACAATTATGTGATCGAGCTGAAATCGAAATACAAACCATGAAAAAAATCAGATTTAGTAGATGCTACCTTTTTATGCTCTAGAGTTGGAGTTACAACGCTTCCCTTTTTATTACTTGTAATGTCCAATCTTTGACTATGGAAAAAAAGCAGTTTGCTACTTAGAATTCATGAGGTTTCATTTAGTAAATTTGAAGAATTACCTTTTTCGATCAATTCAGGGGAGGAAATTAGCTCCACCTGCTTAGATTCATTGAGCGAAAAGGCTGACAACATAAGCTAGATAAATCCCTCACAAGCCAGGGTGGAAGAACGCGAGGGAGGGAGTAGAACGCAACTCAGTACAAGTCAATAGACGAGCCATGACACAACCCATACGACAACCACCAATCACCGAAGAACGCCACCACAGAGCAACATACTCGCCGGCGCGCCAAGGTCATTATGCCTCCACACCATCCCTTGTAGCTACACCGATCTGCCGCCCTCCGCTGATGGAGCACCCAACGGAATCAAGTGGCACTTGTGTTCATACTAAGGGCTTATTTGGTATAGCATATAAGATACTTATGGCCAAAATGAGCTAAAACTCGAAGCTAAATGACACATTTTTATAGCTTTTCCTGGTATCACTTCTCCTCGTAGCCCCATTTTTACTAAAAATGTAGAAATTGGATTAGATTAGCTTATTTTGGCTACACTTTTCCTCCATTTGTGTGACTTCTCAGGGAAGCCCATCTCCCCAAAGTTGTACCAAGTAGTGTCTAAATAGGATGAAGTGTGAGGTTGTTACATCATTATATGACACCTGCGTTGTCGTCAAAGTCACCTGAACTTTTTCATAGTCCGCGTCATCGACGTAGACTAATTATAGTAGATACAAGAGCATCTACTAGCAAATAAAAAACACAATGAGTTCATAGACAGTTTCAATTTAGGCACCATATGATAGAACATGATTTTAGAAAAAACTATGAAACTGGTTTCATAATTTTATGAGCTGAAATAAACTTTCTATGGATTTTCTAAGACTAAACTAGATTTTAGGATTTTTAATTGCGTAAAATTTTTAGAAAAAATATTCATAAAAATAGTTGTTATTTGAAGAATAAAAAAACTACAATTTCCCTCTTCGTGGTTGACTTGGCACCACATCAGACAAAACCGTTGTCTAAAACTGTCCAGGTGCAAACACAAACCGTTTTAAAAGTTGGGGGGTTTAAAAATCGGGTTATAGATAAGAGTGGAAAATCAGATCGTGAAAGTTGAGGGATCAAAAAGACTTTTTTTCCCCTAAGAAAAACCCTGTGCCACGCTCTCCCATTCTCGCCCTCGTCTCCTCGTCATCATCCTCTCCGGGGAGCGCTCAAGGCACTCACCAGGATGGTCCTCGTGCGTCATCCGTCATGATCTGACGCTCCAACTGACGCACGGTTCTTTGGCTGCGAGGTGGGGAAAAAATGCAGTTCTGCTCCCTAGCTGAGAGGCTATTGGCTGGTCCGGTGCGCAGAGACCTAAGAACTCCCAAGACCTGGTGGCGGTGGCCTGGGACTCGATGGATCCGTCCACTCGACGACGGTGATACTCAAGCTGGTTAGGATGGATCCGCCTCACTTGCAAACTGTTCAATCTGAACCGCGGTTCAGTGGTGGAGGCGCCAGCAGGATGGCTGCGAGCTATATATAGATCAGCCATCCTTGTTCTACTGATGCCACACCACCATCTTCTCTCAAGAAGATCTGTTCACGGTATGCTTTTACGCTATCAAGAATCATTTCTTTGCCTGCTTGATTTGGTTAATATATAAGGTTGTCTTTTAGTATTAGTTTTTATTAAACTGTCTTTTAGTGCTAGTTAGTTCATTAGTTCACATGAGTCATTCTTGATTCCTCTCTCTCTCTCTCTCTCTCTCTCTCACACACACACACACACACACACACACACACATATATATATATATATATATATATATATTACATGTTTGCGTGTCTCTACTCTGTAGACGTCATCATAACTGAAATCTCACAATTCTTTATTAACCGCTGCTATTGATATGTCCGATGCACACATGACTCATCAGAACTGAAGCAGAACCTGTCTGTCGAAGTGTCCATGCTTCAAGATTAATTAACCCTGCAAGCAGATGATGAGTGCATCGAGTATCTTTCACCTAAGTGAATCCAAAGTGAGTGTGACAAAGGCTGCTGAAGATTCTGCTTCTTGGTTGCACCCAGAAAGAGGCATCATCGCCCAGGTCGAAGTGCTCTTCATGCTATCGGTTCTGCTGCACGCGGTCCAGGTCGTCTTTGGCTGGTGGCGGCGCCGCTCTAGCAACACGTACATCAGGCACTCGCTCTGGCTGGCGTACACCATCAACCCCCCTCTGCTGATCTACACTCTGGGCCTCGCTCGGTCCTCGCCTTCCGTCGCTGGGAGCGAGCTGCTTCGAGCGTGTGCTTTCCCCTTTGTCATGGCTCTAGCTGGGACGAACTCCATGACGGCCTACAGAGTCGATGACAACAAGCAGAACACGAGGCGCTCTGTTCAGCAGCTCCTGTGCGTGCTCAGCCTCGTTGCCATGTGGAAGATTGATGATGTATCAAAGCTTACCGATTTCAGGTCTATTACAGCGCTCATCTATTCCATTGTGGTTTATTTCTTACTTGCTTTGATGATCTCAATGAATGGGGGGAGAATTTATGCAAGTATGGCTGCTAGCAGTTCCCTGGACAAAGAAAGCAGAGATGTTCAGGTTCACATGAAGAGTGGGCACATGGAATCCACCAACTACAATCCTGTTACCTTGGCAGGTTACGGATACCTTGTCTGTGATAAGATTGATGATTCCTCTACAACTGTTCATCATATAGAGATTACGGTTGACAGGATCTGGTCTTGTGATGGAGGCCCATTAGGCACAAGTGATGGCAAACAGCTGAAGGAGGTGTGCTTTTCCTTTGCCTTGTTTCGGCTGATGAGGCGTCGTTTCTTTGGCCTCTCTTGTCCTGAATCAAAGCTTCAGAAAACACGTGACCTTGTCCTCAAAGGATTGCTTTTGGATTGTGAAGCTGCATATAGGGTGATTGAGGCAGAGCTGGCCTTTGCACATGACCACTTCTTCACCGGTGCTGCTTCTGGCAACACTGAACTTGGTAAGTATAACATCCTACTGGGTACTGCTAAAGCTGTTATATACCCCCTCACAATACTAGCTACTGTTAAAGATTTCATCCACAGAAAAAGCAAAAGCTACAACTCAACCGGGATGGTCATTGCTGCAGCCCTAATCATGCTACTGCTTTTGTCACTAGAGCTGCTACAGCTTTATCTTTACTTATCATCTGATTGGGCTAAGGTACAGCTTGTTCGTCGGTCTATCTCTGGGAAAGACATCCCATTCGGATTCAGTAGGTTTTACAGTAAGCTTACCCGGTTATTGGGATACTGGCAAAGTAAGATTGGCCAGCACGCATTACTACAGGATTTACATGGTCGATCAGGCATTTACGACACTATAGGATCCATGTCTGGGCTTTTCTTTGGTGAGAATCTTGGACACTGTACAGTATCCCCAAGATCTACTGATCTTCCCAGGCCAAAATATATTTTGTTGTCCAGGGATGTGAAGTTAGCAATTGCTTGGACTCTCAAAGGTAGCGATGGCAACCGAACGAATGGCACATTCTCATTGCGACACAACGCACAGCATGGGCTTCTATGGGCATGCCAGCAAGAGTACCACACCAGCACCATGTTGATTTGGAATGCTGCTTCTTCTTGTGGAAGGGAAGACCAAGATGCTGTCTCAGTTCCCAACCGTAACATTGCCATTACACTATCAAAATATTGTGCGTATCTGATGGCATTTGTCCCATATTTACTTTCTGATGACGAATTAGACACCAGGATCATATTTGAGGTGGCGAGATGCGATGCCCAAAATATGTTTCCAAAACATATGGCTTTGCCTGAACTATACAGAATGATGAGAACTTGTAGCGTGCAACCGTCAGATGAGCCGATTCTGACCAATGGGTTCCTTCTTGGACGGCAACTTGAGGAGATAGGAGATGGCATGCACTGGAAGATACTAGTAGATTTCTGGACTGAGATGATGCTGTACATAGCTCCATAAACCAATGCAAAAGCTCACATCGAACATCTGGCAAATGGAGGGGAATTTCTGACTCATCTTTGGGCCTTGCTTCTCCACGCTGGCATTTTAGAGAGGGAGCAAAAATACCTATGACGAAGAAGATGCCGCAGCAACTGCCAAGATGGAGCCACATCTGTCATCTAATACATTGTCCAAAACTGCTAACTCGTTTGTCTAAGAGACCCTCATTATTTATGTTATGTAGTGGAAATTCCTTCTTTGAGTAATAACCTTTACTCATCATCCAGAAGCAGAACAAGATGCTCAGTGACTGTCCACGTGACAAGTTAAGCCGCCAAAGCTAGCAGGCTGCATATAGCAAACAAAATATCTGAAATGTAAGGGGTGTTTGGATCCAGTGACAAAAATTTAGGAGGTGTCACATGAGGGTGTCGCATGAGTGTTCGGATACTAATAAAAAAATAAATTACAGAATCCGTCAGTACTCCACTAGACGAATTTATTAAGCCTAATTAACCCGTCATTAGCACATGTTTACTGTAGCACCATATTGATAATCATGGACTAATTAGGCTTAAAAGATTCGTCTCGCAAATTAGTCACAAACTGTGCAATTAGTTTCGTAATTAGTCTATATTTAATACTTCATGCATGTGTCCAAATATCCAATGAGACAGCGACTAAAATTTAGGAGGAGAAACCAAACACCCCCTAAGCTCTTGAGTGACAAACTGGTCATCATTTGTCATCATGTTGTTCTTAGTCAGGCTTGTTTTGTCTGCATTGGTGACGTGATTGACTTCTATTGAATGAAATAGAAGGTCGTGGAGAGGATCTCCCTCTCTCTTGAAAGGATCAAGATGTCCAGGAGAGGGGATGAATTGGGCTAATTCTAAATTTTCCCGAGGTGTTTCTATTGTTCCTAGAAGTGTTTCTATTGTTCTACCACACAAAAGTTTTACATCCTAGGTTTCAATCCTACTCTAACATGATAATTCTAGGAATGTAAAGACATGAAATGAATTGCTCAAATGTAAATGCTTAAAATAAAGAGAAGGAAAGGAATGCGGCAATGTTTTCCCGAGGTATCAGAGATTCGCCACTCCCCACTAGTCCTCGTTGGAGCACCCACACAAGGGTGCAGCTCCCCCTTAATCCGCGAAAGGATCTAGTGCTCTCTACGGGCTGATTCTTTGACACTCCGTCGTGGTGAATCGCTCACAACATGACTTGGGTCATCCACAAGCTCCGCCGGATGATCACCAAGCTTTCAATCACCACCGAGCCATCTACGTGATGACGATCACCAAGAGTAACAAGCACAAACTCTCACTTGACCAAGACAAGCCTAATGAGAAAGGTGGATGCACACTTGCTACTCCCTATGCACTAATGAGGTCCTTAATCTTGAATTATCAAATCTCAATCACCCCACTAGGTTCTTGCTCTCCTTTGCACTCCAAAGGTGTTTCTCAGCTGAACAAATAGGCAAGAGACCTCAAGTGGACTAGTATGATATGTATTTATACCCCCTATTCAAAACATAACGGTTGGAGTCCAACTTAGCAAATTTCGGGCTGACCGGACGCGTAGGTCAAGGTGATCGGATGCGCCGGTTAGTGGAACACGTCAGCGTGTCAGATAGAGCCATTTGCTCTGACTGGACTCTGGCCTGCGTCCGGTCAGCACCCACCGAACGCGTCTAGTCAGCAATTTCCCTCTCTGGAACCTTACTGATGTTGACCGGATGCTGGCTCCCCAGAGTCTAGTCACTTACCTGATCAGCGTCCGGTCCATGGTCAATAGCAAGTCCACGCTGCTACAGATACCTCTAGCGTCGTGTCCGGTGTGCACTAGTGTCCAACGTTCGGTCGCTCTTTGGCTTCTGCTGCCGATCAAATGAACTGACCGGACTCACCTAGCTGCGTCTAGTCACAACTAAACCAGCGTCCGATCAGTCATTTGACCCTCCATTCACTTTCAATTTGAAATTCTTTGTGAATGAAGTTGACTCCTATCAATCTTAGGGCTATTCCTGAGCTACATAGTGCTAAGTTTGACAAGTGTGCACCACACCTAAACCATTAGACTCACCTAGGTCAAGCTACTAGTCCATACCCCCTTAATAGTACGACCAAAGGAAAAACAAAGTCCTAAACTACTCTAAGTGTCTCTCCAACACCAAACGACACTTAGAATTAGTCCGTCCTTAACCTTGTCATCCATCCTTTGAAAACCGAAACGATTTCCATCGACAGGGGCATGAAAACCATGATTGCCCAATCAATTACTATTACCATGACCTAACTCAAAATGCCTATGCAAAACACACGTTAGTCATAGTAATCTCATGTCGTCATTAATCACCGAAACCCAACTAGGGGCCTAGATGCTTTCAATCTCCCTCTTTTTGGTGATTGATGACAACACAACCTCGAGTATGTATAAGAGATAAGTGAGGTTTTCAACATGCTTGGTTCATATAAGCATTTGACAATAAGAACAAAAAGGGGTTAGACATGCTTATATGACCCAAACCAACATGATGTACTCAAAAGATATGAATTAAGCATGAGTACATAAAGTAAAGCTCATTTGTATCGGAGTAAAATGTGGAAGCAAGGCAAATGAGCATAACCAATTGACATGACATATATATATATATGTATATATATATATGTATATATATATATGTATATATATATCAAAGTAGAGAGCATACATGTCACATAAGTCTCACAATCACATGTATATAATACAATGCATGAAAGTAAACATGAATGCATGAAGTATCACACACAAAAGATCAAAAGATCGAGAATCGTATCGAGTCCATCTCACACGCTCCCCCTAAATCTAGCATACTCACTCCCTCTCCCCCTTTGGCATCAAGCACCAAAACCTAAGGGTCGGACGGTGGAACTGGAGCAGTCGAGTCAGGCGCTGAGGTACGGTGAGAGATCTAAAACTGGGCTACATCATCCTCGGACCCTGAACTCTGAGCGGTCTGACCCTCTGTCACTATAAGTGGAGGTGAAATGATTTGGGTCTGCTCAGTGGACTTCGTAACTGGGTTGGCCTGTGGCTCTGAAGGTGGCACTATAGGAAGTGGAGCCACAACTGCCGCTGTCGCTGTCGTTGAAACCTCAAGTGTAGGAGTGACGGTCTGAGGTGGCTCGGATAACGCAATAGATGACAGGATCGTCTCAGTAGTCCCGGTGACTGGAGCAGCTATGGTAGGAGCAAGAGCTCAGAACTCTGGTGGTGTAGGCTATCCTATGAGCTCACTGAAGGTAGCACTAAGACTCCTAGAGATAGGGACATCCATCACGAGCACTGACGTAGACTGAGTGGGAGTGAAGCCCGTGATGATAGGAGTAAAGTGTGGAGCCCGCTCTGTCCCTAGTGAAGCAAACCACTGAGACACCTGCTCTGTAGGTGAGGCAAACTGAGGAGTTGGCTGGCCCAGACTCTGAAGCCCACTAGGTTGTACAGCTAGAGTCACGGGGATGGTAGTGGCAGGCTGACCTATCTGTAGCGTGGGCTGGTGAGGAGCAATCCCTGTAGCAGTGAAAACATGCTGCATGAATCCAAGTAGCTACTGCTGAATCACTAACTGTTGCTACTGCATGGCCTGCTGCTATAGTTGGAACTGATCCTGCCATGCCTGTACCTGAGCAATAGCAGCTACTGTCTCCTGTGCTTGTCGAGCCTGGTTGTAAGTGCAATCAAACCCTAATGTGGGTTTTGGCGTTGATGACCATCTAATTAGAGGACTAACAAGATTTATCGAGATGACAAGCAGGGAATATGCATTGGAGGATGTTATATAAAAAGGAGGAGCCCCAATTACAAATGCGGACAGTATCACACTCAAGGGAGGTTTAATTTCTTTTATATTTTGAAATTGAGTATAGGAAAAGCCATACTATAAAGGGGGACACAACAACTTGCTAAATATGTGCAATCAAGTGCTCAATATTGTGTCAAAACATCCTCAGTACCTCAGCCAAGATAGCCAGCTACCCAACTCCTTTACCTTTGCTATCTGGCCTGGTGCGGCAGTGCCGCACCTAGAGAGAGGCACTGCCGCACTGCGGCACTGCCGCACTTAAGTGACCGTTGGAAGACAGGGGGTAATTTATACTTTTCCCTATCCTTCCCAACGTCTCTCTCTCTCTCTTATTCCACCTCTGCTCATTTTGACAGAACAGACCTGTGTGCTCATCTGCTCTCTCCTCCATTGGTGCCCTTCAAGCTCTCAAGCTTCCCTTTGAGATTTCCCATCAATCCTTGAGAGAAAAGTGTGCCAAAGGTCATTAGAGAGCAGATCTACTATTTCCCAAAGCCTAAAGAGCACTTGGTTCATGTTTTGGCCAGCGGTTGTGTTTGTTACTCTTGGAGCTTGGCTCTAAGCCAGCTAGAGCGTCGCCCGGTGAGCTTGCCAAGCTTGTGGCAGCCCCGGGAGGTTTGTAACCATCTCTTGCAGCGAGTAAAGTCACCCCTCATCTCAAGAGTTAAGTCTCTTGACTTGAGAACGAGGAAGGGTTGTAAAGCCCTTAGCCTTAGTGGCATATCTCAACAACGTGGACTTAAGCAAGCCTTAGTGGCGAGCTAAACCACGGGATAAATCATCGTGCCATTATGTGCTTGATTTACTTTACTTGTTCTTCATATTGTTGTTGAGGTGATTTCTAGGGTTTGAGGTCGATCTACTCGTTTACACTCGTGCTGCTGATTTCAGTTGTCAATCTGTGAACTACATCTATGCAGGAAGCTAAGAAAATTATCCGATCTAAATTTTGTTGGCTAGATTTTGAACTGTGACTAAGTCTTTCCTGTAGGTGCAGTAGTGTCGCTGTTTTGGTACGACAGTGCTGCTATCCTAGAGCGGCAGTGCCGCAAGTGAATTTGACGTCTGCTTGAGTTGAATTTTTATAGGCATATTCACTCCCCTCTAGGCGCTCCAGTGATTCTACAAGTGGTATCAGAGCCAGTTACCTCGTGTACACTTCACC